TTTTTTTTTTTTGCTCACCCAGGTTGTTTATTTGATTGAAAATGTTGTAAAAATAGTAACATTGTAAAAACAACTGCTTTATATTTTAAAATGATTAATTAGCAATTATTTGAAATAAAAGTGTTTCATATTTTAAATGTCACTGCTATCACTTTTGCACTTTTTTGCAGAAAAGTATAAAACTATGAATTGCTTATTTTAAAAAATCTTACTGACCCCAAACATTTGAACTGTAATATAATATAAGGAATTGCATTAAATTATATAAATATACATTGACGTCAATATGAAATGGCTTTCACAATCCATCACAATCCATTTTACTTGTGTGATCTAAGAAATATCAAAGTATTTCCAATTTAAATGATTTATTTTCTCAAATTATTTTTTTATTTAAAATCAGAGACTGATTGGATTGTGAAAACTAGTATTTACACATTTTAAAAAAGAGCAATTTAGACATGACAATTTAGGGAATAATTTACTCCAGCATTTATTTTAGCACTAAAACTACCTGCATAAGCAAGTCTGACGATTGTGGCTTCATCTTGGGCCAAGTGGGCAATCCCAGGTAAAATGTATTCTGGGTAGATATTGACATCATTGCGAGGGACCTCCTTGACCAGCGCCAGCACTTTAGTCAGTGTGCGGACAGCCTCAGCCCTGACGCGCGGCATCGAGTCATTGCAGAAGTGCAGTAAGTAAGGTGTAATCCTGTCCAGCACAATCTCCACATTCAGCCGGCCTGCCAGATGAAGAATCAGCTCCAGTGCTGCCAGCTTGGAGTCGCAGAAACGCAGTGTCTGCAGACAGGATGTGATCACTGACACCAGCACCACCAGCCCTTGCTCCTTGGATAAACTAAGCTCCTGAGAAGCCTTCTCCTGTTTTTCAGTCTTCCCTGTTTGCCCGCCACTGCACAAGTTATTGAGGATGTTCTCCAGGTTCTTACGAATGACCAACACCCTTTCGTCAGCAGACTGGAAGGTCTCCTTGGCAAACTGAGCCATGTAGGGCTGAAGGAAGGTATAAAAGATTTCTGGGAAAGCTTTGCCTCGCTGCTGCTTTAGATATTCTTCGGCTGTCAGACGTTTTTCCGGTTCTCGCTGCACCATTTGTGCCACCTGCATAGAATGGATGAAATTATAGAGTACTACCTAGTATCTAACTAACTAGTATCATATTATTTATAAAATGGTTATAAATAAACTTTGAAATGTATTAATTATGTAATTTATTACACCCCCATTCAAAAGATTGGGGTCAGTAAGATTTTTTTTTAAAAGAAATTAACACTTTTATTCAGCAAGTATTCATTACATTGATCAAAAGTGACAGGAAAGACATTCAAAATATTACAAACAAAATTCTATCTCTGCTCTTTTGAACTTTGTATTCATCAAAGGATCCCAAAAAAATAGGCATCACGATTTCCACAAAAATTAAGCTGCACAACTGCTTTCAACATTAATAATAATAATAATAATATTTCTTGGGCACCAAATCTGCATATTAGAATCATTTCTGAAAGATCATGTGACACAGAAGACCAGAGTAATGGCTGCTGAAAACTGATCTTTGCCATCACAAGAATAAATTTTATTTTAAAATATGTTAAAATAGCAAAATATAATTTTATTGTATGTCTTATCATATGTCACAGTGAGTATAAGAGGCATTTTCAAAAACACAAAAAAACAACAACAGACCAACCCCAAACTTTTGAATGGTAGTGTAAACATTTGTAAAACCTAAAGTGAAATAATACAAAGTATCTAAAATACCAGTTCCCTAATACTGCGATCTTCAATTTTCATCAGCACTTGTTCAGTTTGGAAATGTCCTTTACGGTAAGCCAGGAGTTGTGAGAGGTCGAAGAGTGGGACACCCTCTGTAAACAACTCTGCAATCACACAACCTATCAAAAGAAAATCAAAAAGAAAGATCTTTGAAAAATGTCATATTAATGCATCGGCTTTAAGCAAACAGAAAACAATATAATGGTGATGGATACCAGCTGAGAAGATGTCCATGGGCTGCTTGAGTTCTCCCCTGGTCCTCTGGCTATTGCTTGAGAAATCCTCAAGCGGAGGTGTCTGGTCACTTTCTGTGGCAAACATGCTGCCATCCACAAATCTCTCCGGTGCAATATAGCACGTTCTCCTCCTGGACGTGTCGAAGAAGTAGTTGAAATCTGCTGGGTTGTCTTCAGGTAAGTATGTAGGTTTAAAACTAGCAAAGTCTGTGAGAAGCACCCAGTTCCAGCTTGTCACCATAACATTCTCTGTTTTAATGTCACCATGACGCACACCAGATTTATGGGCCTGGTCCACAGCATTGAGGAGCTGGAAGGCGATCCACTTCTTCTCCACATTGTTGAGGAACGGTCGCGTGCTGATGCGGTCATACAAGTTATCCCGAACATACTGCCGAAATAGTATGGCTGCTTTCTCAGTAAGAGTGGCTTTTTGAAAAGGCAGACAGTTCTGACAGGAGTGCAGTCTGATTTTCAGCTCCTCCAGCTCTTGTTTGTAGCTGGTCAAGGGCAGAGAGGGGTCCTGGATCGCGAAAACCTTAACCACAACCAATCCTTCTCTATGTTTCGCCCGGGCCACTTTGAAAAACCGCGTACTGCCAAGACTTTTGTCATATTCATAATCATGGATGTCAGAGAAGTAACTATCCACTGAAAGAATCTGTGACGGAGCAATTCCAGCCAGCTGGTTCCCCATCTCACTGGATCAGAGATGGCTGTGCTCAAAGACAAATGTATACCTATTACAGATAGAAAGAAGATGGTTCTGCAGTTTATTATTACAACATTCAGCTTTTTCTTAAGATTATTACTAATCATTACCTGCAACTAGAGTAGATGCATGTAAAGTTTTGTCATAAATTTAGTATAATCTTCAGATTCAGTATACAGTCTTCTGCACATACAGTGTCATGAGACAAAATGCTGCATCATATCTGTTAGCAATACTCGCTAGAAAACACAAAACTTCAAATATTTACATTATTGCAATTTTCTCTCGATATAAGTTGCCAGTTATAAAGTATTATGTCACGTACATATGCGTATACATTGTTTGTTTACAGCACTGATGTAAAAATAAACGGTTGTTTACCTGATTCTTTGAGCCCAGCGCGCTGTCAACTAACGTTAACCGACTGCTTAGCAATAGTTATTTCTTCCCACCTTACTCAAAATGACATTCTACATTTTGCCCAGGTTAAAACGAACGTTACTAACAAACATGTCAAATCATACGAACGATATAACATGTACATAAAAGAGCCGCTTCGTTTGTTATTCTGTCTCAGAGTCAGGAGTGAACTAGAGGTGTGCATTGGTTGATCTGAGATCTGATCCTCAGCTCAATAGCGGCACGCTATTGGATGAAATGTCTCACGTGTCTGATCCCAGATCAACCGGCAAACCGGAAACCGGAAGATATCATATCACATCACATGAGGCGTTACTGAGTCCGACTACACTAGTTTATTTGCACGTTGTGACCGGTTGTGATATTGTAAAAACACCCTTTCCCTCTAAAAAAAGATTCATTTGGACGCAATGGCGCTGCTCAGAGGACTGACTTTGTTAAATAGAGTTTCTCCAAACAAGTGCTTCATACCAGCACGAGTAAGAATTTTATTTTGGCCATGTGCAATTAAGATTGTGTGCATGCATTTACAATTTAGTTTCGAAATCTCATAAAATGTTGCCAATATAAAGTAATTTCTTTACCTGGAACTTTAGATAAATAAACCATATATAAAATATAAGATTGTGCGTTTAAGTGTGCATTTTAGAGAATTTAAAGCTTGCAAAGTGTGTTATATTTGAGTAAAATGATCTCTTTTAATTGTTATAATGTGCACTGAATAGGAAAATCGTGCCTTTCAAACTTGATTTTTCATTTGAGACCTATTGCATGCATTAGAATGTATAATTCTCTAGCTTCAGCAGAGAACTTATATTGTCATTATGACCTTTCACCCAGTTGCTATTTATAATAGCTAGGCTACTATTTATTCCTGACTGAATTCATGTATTAAAATAAAGTGACCCTCTTTGCATCCTTTAACAGCTGTTTGGAAATGGGACAAGCAGTTTATACCAGAGCAATCCTCCTCAAGCGAGATTCTTCCCACCTTCTGAAGGTGTTATGCTTCTCCCAGGAACTTACAAAAACAAAGTGGCCTTCATCACTGGAGGAGGAACAGGACTTGGAAAAGCCATGACCACCACTCTGTCTTCACTGGGAGCAGAGTGCGTGATAGCCAGCAGGTTAGTTATTCTTCTTGTTAAAAATGTCAAAAAAGAATTAAGCAGCACAATTGTTCCTAATATTGGTAATAGGAAATGTTTCTTGAGCACCAAATCAGCATATAAGCATGATTTCTGAAGGATCATGTGACACTGAAGACTGGAATTCAGCTTTGCCGCCACAAGAATAAAGTACATTTTACAATATGTTCAAATAGAAAAGGGTTATTTTAAGTTGTTATACTGTTATTGATTTTACTGTAATTCTGATCAAGTAAATGTACCCTGATGAGCATCAAGAGACTTCTTACTTTGGACATACCTTCACTTTATTTGTAGGTCTTTTAGTTCTTGAATAATTGCGAATGCACCCTACAAGCAAAGCCAAAGCTTACATAACTTTGAATTTGAGCGATTATTTTTCTTGCGTCTTCTGTCGTCACATCACTTCCAGAAGTCTTGAAGTTTTGAAGAAAACAGCTGATGAAATCTCACAACAGACCGGAAACAAGGTACCTCTGCTTTTATTACACCACCTATGAAAGTCTATGCAAACATTGTCATATCCTTAGAGTAGTTCATGTGGATTCCAGATTATGGTGAAGAACTTGTATTCATCCTCCTAGAGTTTGATGAATGTGTTCATGTTTCAGGTCCATGCTGTCCAGTGTAATGTTAGGGACCCTGCTTCAGTGGAGGCTGCTGTTAACCAGCTTGTAAATGATGTCGGCCTGCCTGATGTAGGTTTAGGTCTCCATCTTAACAGCAGTGATGCAATAGATTCAGCCAAATACACAAAACTGCTTCTGATATGCTTTGTCAACCCACAGGTGGTGATAAACAATGCTGCTGGAAACTTCATCTCTCCTTCAGAGAAGCTTTCCCCCAATGCCTGGAGAACCATCACTGACATAGTGCTGAACGGCACCGCATATGTCACGCTAGACATCGGGAAACGCCTCATCAAAGCTGAGAAAGGTGATTATTATTTTTATAGAAATGGAGCAAAGGTAATTATTCAACTTTTAATTATGATAGAAAGCTTACCGTTACAAACAGTAGAGCATAGTGCTAGCAATGCCAAGGGAATGCACTGATAAAAATATATATATAATAATGTGTATTAATGTAAGGAGGCTCTTTGGATAAAAGCTTCTAATTCGATTGGATTAATCATTAATGGAAGTAGTTGATTTTGAGTACATGACCACTAGAGGGCAGTAAGTGCAAAAAAAGAGTACCCAAATTATTGATAATCTGCGGGATTTGTTTTAGTGATTCTTTAATAGTTAACAAAATGTTTTGAATTTAAGAGAAAGTAAATTAAATAATTTTGTGTTCCTCGATTTGTAAAAATGAAAATAAAAAAGTCTGAAAATACATGCCCTTGTATCAGAATTCTAAGCAGCTTGACATTGCTTTGCAAAAAATTGTTTACAATGTACATCATTCCAAAAGTACAGCCACAAAATTACCTAATTTTACATGTAAACATGGTAAACCATGATATTAAATCGGAAATGTATAACCAAAAGTCCATCCATCCAGAAATGTAGTCCTATTGCTAAAAGGACTGTTTAGATCATTTTATTTTTTGTTCTGAAGAATTTATGTAAGTGCATTTTTGTTTTTGAGGGACACGTCAAAATAATTTTCTGTGGTAGCTGGTCACAGATGCTGTCAATAGAGATAAACGTAGAACCCTAAAATATTTCTTTATTTTTACATTACTGTTCAAATGTTTTTTTTTATTAATGCATTAAATTGATCAAAAATAATCCTGAAATAATGAATCACGATTTGCATAAAAGTATTTGCAAATCATCATATTAGAATTATTTCTGAAGAGTAATGGGTGTTGAAAATTCAGCTTTGTCATCACAGGAATAAAAAATTACATTTTAAGATATATTAGAATGGGAAAGCGTTGTCTAAAATTGTAATATTTCACAATAGGATTGTTTTTACTGTAATTTTAATCACATAAATGCAGCCTTGGAGTGCACAAGAGATGTATGGTTGTCCAGATGATCCATGTTTTTCTTTCACTGCCCGTTGTCTTGATGTTTATGCTGTAATGAGGTTGCCTGTGGCTTCTTGCACATCCCATGAGCCATGCTTTTGGAAATGTGGCATAAAAAGTTGTCAAAATGTGGGATTTTGTTGTGGTAATCAAGCCTGTTTTTATAATAGGCTAATTTATGTGCATTCATGCTGTTTTCTGCTCTCTTTGTTCTCTGTTAAGATAACCGCTTCTGGCTGTAACCAGTAAGCCAGTGCAATTACTTCTCTGTAAATTAAGAAATCATTTGTCTTTATGTACATTTACTTTGCAATGATAAGAGCTAAGTATGTGTGTGGGTACGATGACAACAAGCAAGATAAGATGATTCTGGTTCATTGCCTCAGTCACATTAGTGTGTGTGTGTGTGTGAGAGAGAGAGAATTAGCTGCTCAAATTCAGACAGCCAGCCTCTCACCTGATGATTTTGACCTCTTTCTGCTTCCTTGAACAATGTGATCAATTACTCCATTAACACATATTCTAAAGATATTATACTATTGATAACAAGTCTGACCTTCACAACACTGTATTTGTGTTTGCATTTCACTGGTAATTGAAAATAAAGATTGATTTATTATTTTTCTTCTTGATGCAACGTAACAGCTTATACTGTTTTATCATCATCCCATTGTGTCTCAGATGATCTGAAGTTTAGTTTCATCTCATTTGAAGCACCAGAAACTGATAATCTTGTTGAATTTATAAAGGTGCTGCATTTCTGGCCATCACCACAATCTATGCTGAGAGTGGCTCAGGATTTGTTGTGCCAAGTGCTGCGGCTAAAGCTGGAGTGGAGAAGCTTTGCACGTATGTACTCTGTTACACTACAGACACATTTTTAGGTCCAATTCACCTGGTAGGCTGGTGTCTCCTTTGTGAATCAGGTCCTCCTGTCAAATGCCTTTCTAATATATTCTTGGAGGGCTGCATATATTATCATAATGAAGGTGCAGTGTGCTATGTTTCATTTGCATTTTAATTGTAAGATGGGGATCTTGATCCTCTCCCCTCAAGGAGTGTTAAATATGTGGAAAATACAACAGGGAGAGGTGAACAACACACTATCTAACTGATGATTCAGATCAGTAGCTCATTAATAATAATATAATCTCTGCTGAAATGTTTAGTTCAATGACAGGATTTATATATTTGTATTTATACATTGAGATTTTTTTGTGTGTGTGTGTGTGTGAGAGAGAGAGAATTAGCTGCTCAAATTCAGACAGCCAGCCTCTCACCTGATGATTTTGACCTCTTTCTGCTTCCTTGAACAATGTGATCAATTACTCCATTAACACATATTCTAAAGATATTATACTATTGATAACAAGTCTAACCTTCACAACACTGTATTTGTGTTTGCATTTCACTGGTAATTGAAAATAAAGATTGATTTATTCTTTTTCTTCTTGATGCAACGTAACAGCTTATACTGTTTTATCATCATCCCATTGTGTCTCAGATGATCTGAAGTTTAGTTTCATCTCATTTGAAGCACCAGAAACTGATAATCTTGTTGAATTTATAAAGGTGCTGCATTTCTGGCCATCACCACAATCTATGCTGAGAGTGGCTCAGGATTTGTTGTGCCAAGTGCTGCGGCTAAAGCTGGAGTGGAGAAGCTTTGCACGTATGTACTCTGTTACACTACAGACACATTTTTAGGTCCAATTCACCTGGTAGGCTGGTGTCTCCTTTGTGAATCAGGTCCCCCTGTCAAATGCCTTTCTAATATATTCTTGGAGGGCTGCATATATTATCATAATGAAGGTGCCCCTTGATTTTATTTGCTAGGTCACACAGGAGCAATGGGCCATAATGGAAGCAAAAATCAGAAACACAAAAGGATCGTAAACCTCTGAAACTGCAGTAACTCAGCACTAATGACAGTCCTGATCTTAATCTCCCATTGTAGTACAGAGGATCAACCATTTTGAAATATGATTTTTAGATAGTGTAAATTGAGACTTAAATTGTCTTGGCACATAAAAATATCCACCCAGTGACATTTTTATCACATTGAATTGTTGTGTGAAGTTTTTGAGCTGTGCTGAATTCTAGATTGTGACCAGTCTGCCATTTCTGCTTTAACTATCTATTGTAACAATGGCAATTACATTATGTATGCTGTAAACATGTAGGTTACCTTTTTAGTAGATATGATAGTTTGGCATACATTAACTCGTTTCATGCTTAGAAATTAATTTAGTCAAAAATATATATTCTGATGAATAAATTCTGCCTTAATTCTGGCTTTATTCTTGTTTAATTACCAGTTTGAGGATTAAAAAAAGGAAAATACAGGCTTTAATTGCTTTGTATTTCTTTTTTTTTTAATCTTTGAAAGTGTTTTTAAATCAGGCTCCACTCAAATAACCACTGAGAAGTCTTTATATTCATTGTTTTCTGCTCTTTCATCCTAGTGGCTTCCAGGTTAGATTATATTGCTGCCTGTGGGGGAGCAAAAGCAGTCTTTATTGACTGGGGTTCTTGACAGCATCTGAGAGTATAGAACACAAAAAAGACGTGGTTTGGTATCCTTATGAAAAATGGTATGTTTTCTTGTTGACTTGCTCTTGTTGATAGTAATGAATTATAATACTTGTATAATTCAGATAATCACATCTACATTTTTCCATTTGTTGAATGTGTGACGTTCGATTTGATGTATACACACTTACACACTACTGTTTAAAAGTTTGAGGTCGGTATTTTTTTATTTATGTTTTGAAAATAAAGTAATAAAGTAATGTGAAATTACTATTTAAAATATCTAATCTGTAGTCGTTCAATTAATTTATTTAAAAAAATGTACTGACTTTTGAACGGTAGTGTAATCATTTAATATATTACGTACTAATAGATATATTTAAATTCTTAAAATGTAATTTAATATATTTTCTGGACAAAGCCTGAGTCTTGACGGTTTTAGGCCTCAATATGTCCTTATAGTCATTAGTGCTAAATATCAGTTAGCCTTAACAGTGGCATTTTCAGGTCAAGCCTAAATCACTGGATATTACTGGCAGGGTGCTAAAATAGCTCATAAATTGGCATCAAAATTCTGGTTTTAGAACAATTTTCCGGCTACAGCACTTGAGGGGAAGAGGCATTTCTCTTGAATGCCATTCATCCTTGGTGTTCCGGTCGAAAGGTGGCTAATCGAAAATTCCATAATATCTTGATTCTTGATATAGATATGGGAAAATATGAATATCAACTATCGTATCGTAGTTGATTTAGTTTCATCAAGCTCTCAATGTTCCAACTAAACAAACAGGTTTAAACACATTGTTTCTGTTTGTTTGCAATGACGCAAGTTTTATGTCTTAGGGTGTCTGCTTTGGGAAGGTCAACTGTTCAATTAGAAGATAAGATCATGATCTGTTGAAACTTTAAATGGGAAGGAGAACTCTACTGAGAGTTGCTTTGTGTTTTTTGCTAGAACTCTCCAACCCCAGCTTTATGTTCATATACATTTTCAAAACCAGGCATTTATTTTGAGGATGATTTTAATTACTGAGCAAACTAACATTTTCATTTTGTGATTATGTTGCACCAAATCACACAACTTCTTCAGATCTTCATCAATTACTTGTATTGTTCCAAACCCAACTGACTTTCTTCTGCAGCACACAAAAGAAGGTATTTAGAAGAATGCTTCAACCGTTACAACCGTACATATTTGGAATTAAAATTAGGCTGATTTTTACAGACTAAAGGATCTATGACACACAACTGGATGCAGGTAGTCATTCAATAAGTTTAATGTTTTCTTACACAGTGTCTGTGGTGTTTAGCATAGAGTAGCATGTTATTCTTTACAGTGCAAAATCTAACATTAGAGACAGGACTGGGGCGATGCATTACATTCGGCATGTGCTTGCAGTCAAACATACCCCACTAGCAGGGCCTGCCGTCTTGTTACAAACATGCATCGCAAAAGTAAATGCAGCCTTTTGGAGTTTTACATAGATCCCACCGACAGGCCGTGTTTCATCATCATTCCTTGAGGACATTATTGCTTTTGTCTAAGATATTGTAAGTCAGTAAGATTTATTATACTTACTGAATTGGTGTGAATTGGTGAATATTTTGAATATTGAATCAGGATGGGGATTTGTTAGCATGTTGGGTCTCTTTTGCTAAGGGAAATGTTGTTTATGTATGCAGTGTAGGTTGTAAGTATTGTATGTGTGCCATTGTTTAAAAAATCTGTACACTTAGAAACAGTATAGAAACAACAAATTGAAAAGTATGTGCCACTGGGTTGCCTGTCTATGTGAAATCAATGTTCGAAATAAAAGAACGTAAGAGGGTTCTAGCTACTTTACGCATCACAGGTGAGCTGAGGACGGGGTTCTGGGATGGTGTGAGTACAGACGGAGGCGTTCACATCTCCTCTGCGCACAACACCAGTGCTAACTCTGTTCTGTAGAGCTTGCCGCCATCAGACAGAGCCATGATTGCGCTCTTGTACATCGGGATTTTGCTGACTTCTAGAACCTGTGAAGAGATTAGAAGAGCATCTTGAGTGTTTTTCTGCCTATCTGTCAATGTGGCATTAGAAATGTTCAGTTTTCATGAGTCTCAAAGGCTTTTTTCAGACATGCAGCAACATTTTTAAAACCCAAAACAAACCATATAAATATATTGAATTATACACTGTATAATCTAATTAAAATTACTTTTTTACTTTATTACATTTATGAAGTGTGAACAAACCCTTGGTCCGAATGGCCTGAACAGTTGCTGTTCAAAAGCTTGGTGTCGGAAAGATTTTTTTCTCCCTCCATAGACAGCAAGGGTCCTACCACAATCAAGGTCCAGAAACATAGCAAGAACATCGGTAAAATAGTCTATGTGACATCAGCAGTGTTGGGCAGTAACGCGTTACTCTAATTTGATTACTTTTTTAGTAACGGAGTAATTTGACGTGTTATAATTTTCAAAATAGTAATTGGAGTATAGTTACAAGCCGAGGTTTTTATTCACAAATGATGCATTAAATTGATTAAAAGTTACAAATCTTTTGTAACGTTATAAATGTTTTTACTGTTCCACATAAATACTGTTCTTTGAAGTTTGTTCATCAAATAAAAAAAAATGTATTATGGTTTCCACAAAAAAATAAAGTAGCTTTCAACATCGATAATAAGAAGACATGTTTCTTGCGCACCAAATCAGTGGATGAGGAAGGATCATGTGACACTGAAGACTAGAGTAATGACTTCTGAAATTTTAGCTTTGCTATCACAGGAATAAATTATGTTTTAAAATATATCTCATTTTATATAAAAAAAATTGCAATGTTTGATTGCTAAAACATTATTTTTAGTTATCAGGGCATCTATATGCTAGTTCACAATTTTCAACTTTTAAAGTTGAAATTAAATTTTTCTCAGCCAGGAAAATGGACTAACAATATTTTATGACTCATCCTGCAATACATAGATTTTTGTCCAATCAGATGTTCTCTAGAATGAAAAGGCCCCTCCCCCATCAGCAGCTAGCAAGTCACTAATCATGACTCACAGCTGTAACATAACTAAAGCCTAGTGGTTATTTAAAAAATGGGCCCTGCCAAAACTTCCTGTATTTATAGTAAATTTGTTGGCACAAGAAAGACAACTACACTTCATGGAATCGTTAATTCTTGTGGAATGATTTTCCCTGCAGACTTCCACAGTAAGTGGTATATTTAAGAGTAGAAATAGTGCATTTCTATATGTGCTAATTTTGTTTGTTTTTACAAACTGAGGGACTGAAGCTGTTATCTGTGGTAATCTACAGATTACTAGCTGAACTTGCTTTTTTAGTAGTTGTGTATGACAGTAGTTTCTTCCTTTTTTCTGTCCTAATGCTGAGAATTTGCATGCAATCCACATGCAGCAGCAGGAGATTAGATTTCTCACTAGTATTATCATTTATGAGTCTAGTTTGTGCTCATCTTGAGCTTCAACAGAGTCAGAATGCATCAACAGATCTCAGAAAATGAAAGCATGAAACCTCCGATCAGTTTTTTTTGTTTTTTTTTAGATGCGTACCTTCTTGTTTTTCTCACAAAGGTCTTTGAGGAGGGCGTCAAGCTCATTCTCGTCCATGTAACCATTCCTGTCCTGGGAGAGGCGGAGAGCATAGTGAACATTAATGAGCACAGATGTGTGACAGCCACTGAGGAAACTCAGCGTCATGCCACTTTACCATCATTTCCTGTATTCTCTATTCAGACATTAGAGACGCCTCATGCAATGTTCTCTAGGGAGAGATTGGAAATCAGGGCATTAAGGATCGGTTTTGCACACAGAGTCAATGCAATGACATGCTGGGTCTCGGGGTGCTCATTTGGTGCTTTGAAGAAATAACAAAATAAATTATATATCTAGGCATTAGGCATTTAAGAGATAGTTCACCCTAAAATGAAAACTCTGTCATTCAATACTCACCCTCATGTTGTTCCAAACCCGTAAGACCTTCATTCATGTTCAGGACACAAATTAAGATATTTTTCGTGAAGTCTGAGAACTCTCTGACCCTCCATAGACAGCAAGGGTCCTACCACAATCAAGGTCCAGAAACATAGCAAGAACATCGGTAAAATAGTCTATGTGACATCAGCAGTGTTGGGCAGTAACGCGTTACTCTAATTTGATTACTTTTTTAGTAACGGAGTAATTTGACGTGTTATAATTTTCAAAATAGTAATTGGAGTATAGTTACAAGCCGAGGTCTCTATACGTTACTGCCGTGTTACATTGCTGACAGAATGCAGTGTTTTATAATCTAGAGATTGTAAAAAGGATGTAGAACATGCACTGTCGAGTCAAGTGCCAGTAGATTAGAGACCTGCGACCACAAGACCCGACGCAACCGAGTGCAGCGCGGGACAAGATGGGTGAGTGCTGGTGCGGGCGGGTAGACACTTGTGTGTGTGCAGTATGTGGGAGAATAAAATGAATCACGGGACTCCCACAAAATAGAAATATCTAAACATGAAATATCTAAAACAAATAAATTGTTATTCATCTATTGCACAAAAACAACATGAACTAATATAAAATATAAACAATTAACAGGTGCAAGCATATGCAGAGTTTCTATTTAGGCTATAACACGTGTTTGCAGCATTGAGCAATGCAGTGCTGAAATTTGTGTGCTCACGAATCCTCTCATTATAACACACGAATTGTAGACATTATGAAAGATTCATTATGCATATATTTATTGTGTTATAACAGAGATTTGTGAGATTGCGATGAACTGAGATGTCTTTTAGAGATTATAAATGCAGCGCTCTTTGCTGGCATTCTGCTATGCTAAACCATGCACGCAGCAGCCGCTCGTTTTAGTTCTGTGAATGTTGATGCTTTAATAACAAATATTTATCGGGAGCGTGTATGCTGGGATTTCATAAATTTCATGGAGAAAAAAGTTACGTAATTATGAATGTAACTAATTACTAATTACTTTTGAAATAAAGTAATCAGAACAGTAACGTGATTACTTTTAAAAGGAGTAATCAGTAATATGATTAAATTTTCAGAGTAACTTGCCCAACACTGGACATCAGGGGTTCAACCGCAATTTTACGAAGCTACGAGAATACTTTTTGTGCACAAAGTAAAAAAAATTACGACTTTATTCAACAGTTCTTCTCTTACTCATCCTGTATGCTATGGCTTGCCGCAATTATGGAGAGATTATCACAATGCATGTGCTTGCTTCCACTTCATGTAATCGACGCATGCGCATGCTGACACATGTGCATGTTCAACGTAAGCAGCGGCATCATGCACATGCGTTGTTTACATGATGCGGAAGTAAGCGCATACATTGTGATACTGTCTCCATAATGGTGGCATGCTGCAGTATCCACCTTTTTCTTGTCGTAAAAATGGGCGCGGCCATTTGGAAAATATATGGGTATGGCTTCCGGTTTCATCTGCGTCCACTCCGTCCAGCTATTTTTAGCTGAGCAAAACAGTTCGTTTTGCTGCTTGATATTGAAAGTTGGTGTGTCTTATCATATTATTTTAATGTATTATCTGAAATTATGAACACACTGGTTTGTAGTGCAAACAGTTTTGCCGTTTACTGCCCGTTGTTATTCTCCTCGTTATTTACCTATAGCGGCTAATGAACCGGAAGTCTCACCCATAGGCTTACTTCCGCGTTGAAGAAAAAGGTGGATAAGGAATGAGGAGAAGAGTTGTTGAATAAAGTCGTTATTTTTGGGGGGTTTTGCACACAAAGTATTGTGTGATATTGTGTGAATATTCTTGAGCAGTAGCTTCGTAAAATTACAGTTGAACCCCTGATGTCACATAGACTGTTTTACCGATGTCCTTGCTACGTTTCTGGACCTTGATCGTGTTAAGATCCTTGCTGTCTATGGGAGGGGCAGAGAGCTCTCGGATTTTATAAAAAATATCTTAATTTGTGTTCCGAAGATGAACAAAGGTCTTACGGGTTTGGAATGACATGAGGGTGAGTAATTAATGACAGAATTTAAATTTTTGGGTGAACTATCCTTTTAAATTAAGAATAAGCTAATCAAGTAAGTCCATGTATTTTCATAATGTCTGAAATATGGCCTTAAAATCACCTGTTATATTTCTTACATTTTTAGGAACAGAGATGATTTTATTTTATTTTATTTTCACAGCTTTTAGACATAAAATAACAGTTTAACAACCTGGGATTGCAAATATGCCCCAGAATAAACCGTCACACATTTTTTCTATTTTATTTTTATATATTGATATAATATTTTGAGGTTAAATAATAACAATTTTAATTTTTGTGTGAACTATTTTGTTTACTATTGCGTACTGCATCAAAAATAAGCTTCATTATGACTTTTCAAGAGGCATTAAAGCATTAAATTAGGAATAAACCCATCAAGTAAGTCTATGTATCTCCATAATATTTGTAAAGTGGCTTTAAATCGCCTCTTAATGACCTGATGAAAGAACAAGCTAGTCTGTTGCATTGTCCCAGAGCAAACAGTATGAGGCCAAACCACATGTCTGCTAAACACAGACCAGCAGTCGGTGTGTCTGTAATGAAATGCCTCAGAGCTTTAAGCACATGCTGCCTCCTCTAATGCTGCATCATCGCTCTGTGTTTTCTAATAGCCCAAAAACGGGTATGTGTGCGTTTGAGCTGGTCTCCATGTAAGTTCGCAACCCGAACCTGCCAATCAATAAAGATCAGGAGTGCTGTCATCAGCAGTGAAGAATTTGCCCTGTTCAGGGACACAGTAATACATTACAATGGAGCCGGGGCCAAAAGATTCAATGGTGTTGGAGGTGATATCCAGAAAGAGCACTGTCTTTGCATACTAATGACTGCTTTCCTCGGGTCTTATACAACTGGAGACACTCTGGCTGATCTATGCATGCTTGGTTATGCATAAAATCAACCAGTATTACGTTTAGGCTTGAGGTATTTTAAAGCTGTCAGGCACAGAGGATTTTGATTATTAAATGATATGACAAGGTGATTGATCAATGCAAGAGACTTACCTGATCGTATAACTCAAAAATCTTGTTGAACTCTTTTCTGGCCATTTTTACCCCCTGAAGAAAAGATTTGTTCAGTTGTAGGTGGTTAAGGGTAAATCCAGTGCATTTATGGGTTCATTCCTAATGCTGACATACCTGAAATTTGAGTAGAAAGTTCTCCTGGTCCGGTAACAGCCTGTTTAAAAAATAAGAGGTATTTGCCACTCTTATATCAAAGTTAATAGGGCAACGATGAATATTCATAACAAATTTGCAAGCTCACAAACCGTGCCATTTCTGACAGACATAATTTTCCATCCTTATTTGAATCAAAAATGTTCAGCTGTAAAAAAAACAAAATATATTTATTCCCTCAAGTGGCAAGTTCTCAAGGTGACACTAAATGCACATTTTTGTTGGGCTGTGTAGTTCACTCTGAGCTTACCGTAGTCAATGTGTACTCCTCTAATTTCTTCTCATCATATGGTTTTTTAGCCCTCTGAAGCAGGTCTTTCAAAAAATTCTGAAAAACATTACGTTGGATTATAGAGAGTCATTTAGAAAGTTTGGGGTCAGTAAGATTATTTTTTACATTAATACTTATCAGGATGCATTTAAATATATTTAGAAACGATAACTTCTAAACCTTCAATGTCAAAATACTTTGAGGTCCAAGGTTTTTAACTGATGCTATACACTTCTGTTGAAGCCATCAGCATGAGCCCATGATTCTGCACAGAAATCTTCACCAATCAGAGAATTGCAACAAATAAATTGCATTTCTGTTAAGCACTGCAAATGACAAGAGTCAGTTTCTGTACACACTCAAGACTACCTAAATATCTGTATGCATAATATGCATTCTTTAGAAAGGTGAAAGTTCTTTGTCATTTTTAATTTGATCATTTGCAATGCTTCATGGGATTGTAGTTATTTTCCTAGTTGAAGCCTTGTACCTTTTATCTTTTTGTCTGATTTTCAATGCTAATGTTGTGATTCACCCTGTAGCTAACTGGTTTAGGTCAGGGCTTATAACTATTAAACAAAGACTTTTCAAAAATCCATATGGGAAAAATTTGCGAGAAAAATACTTCCAGAACCAAGGCTGCTGAAAAAGCGAGCAGGCACTTTTGCACTTGTTTGTAGAATATAACCAGTTTTGACCAATCAGCATCCATGACCAGAACTGTCCATATTATGTTTTGTATAGTGGTGCTATCTCCAAAATGCAACGTCCATAATTCACAGAGCTCTCAGAATTTCCTTTTCCTGCCAGAGGTCCATTAGTGGGTCCAAAAGCAGTCCAGTGTTGACAGATTGCACTCATCAAATCACTGACTGTAAATCTGGCAGCTGTTCAAAGAAACCGCTCCCTATTTTAATTTAAATGCACAAATCCTCAGTGCTTTGCCCCTTTGAGGGATGCATATGGTAATTTGCGTTGGTCTCAATATCAAATCTTTTGTGCTGTTTGTTGTCGTACCCTCCAGTCCACATGCTGGAGAAAGACCTAGAGCGCTCCTGACGATTAAAAAGGAAACTCCAGAGTGGGTAATCCAGTATGGCTCATGATTGACCTCATGAATCACTCTCTTACATATTAGAAGGTACGAGCTGCCTTCTGAGGTGATTTGCATCTTTAGTTTAATTATGTGTTGTTAATTAGTTTACTCTTTAAAAAGGTTTGTCCTGAGTGATATGAAACAAGATCATAAAGAGATAATAGGATGGAGTTGAACTTTAAGTATGCTGATCAGCAAGTTTGTGTTCCAAATGTGCTAATGCTTTACTCCCTGCCAAACCCAAAAGATGTTATCCCTCATGTCCATGTTCATCTGAGAGCTCTGAAGGCTAATTTAGTGTCTCAACTAACTTAACTTAAACGTAAGGAAAAGTTCACTTAAAAATGAAAAATTGCTGACAATTTCTTCACCCTTTTTTGTTGGAACAGATTTGGTGAAATATAGTCTTATATCACTTGCTTACCAGTCTCTGCAGCAAATGGGTGCCATCAGAATGAGAGTCCAAACAGTTGATGAAGACAACAGCTCCCATGATTCCGCACTCAGTCACAGCGTCATCTAACTACGCCTTTGTCTATTTGTTTATTTTGAATACGCGCTCTCCAGGTGAAAATTACATATTGTGCCTTTAATGTCTTGTGAAACGAAAAGCTGTGAGTTTGTAAGAAACAAATCCACCATTAAGGCATTTCAACTTCAAACCATTGCTTCTGGCCAAAATACCAATCCATAATCCATGATAACACTTACCATGATAATGCATCAAAATCCACCGACATTTGTTTAGAACTGTTGTGGATTGTTTTGCTTGTAAACGGTGCTTCATCTGTGCATATTTCTTTCCCAATTTAGACAAGATGACCTTTTTACTGGAGAAAGCAATATTACGATAGAGGATTTTAGCTGGAAGCAACAGTTTAAAGTTAGAACATCTTAATGATGGGTTTATTACAAACACACAGCTTGTCACTTCACAAAACGTTTATTAATGGCCTGGAGTTTTGTGGATTACTTGTGGATTATTGTGATTTTTTCCCCCAGCTGTTTGAATTTGACGGCACCCATTCACTGGAGAGGATCCATTGGTGAGCAAGTGATGTAATGCTAAATTTCTCAAAATCTGTTCCAATGGAGGAACAAACTTATCTACATCTTGGATGGTCCAAATTTTCAGCATTGTTTTTGGTTAACTATTTCTTTAATTTTATTCTTCATGACTTTTTTCCAAGTATATGAGAACAGATTATGAACTCCAAAAATGTATCACTCCAATGCATTTTTTCATATTAAGATGCAGTACACTTACTTTGTTTTATTGCATTTTTCTATAACATATTTTTGCTGAGGTCAAACTGACCTCAAACAGAACCAGAAATGTTTACTGTAGTCACATTTCTGAAAAGTACATCTTGACTTTGTTGTAAAATACAGGGTTAAAGCTGAAGTGTGTCCTGGTTTAGTCAGATCAATACATATTTGAAGGGAAAATAACAGGTTTAAAATTATGCTAGTATTATTCTTAAACCTACAGCATTGGGGTGTCTGGGTCTTTACACACAAGGTTAAGTTCCTCAACAAAGATGGTTGCTCTCTGAGCTAACATCTTGTGAGAGGTTAAAAGTTTGTTTCTCACCTTAAGTTCGTCAGCTTCTATGTATCCACTGTGATCAGCATCATAAGTTCTCCAAGCCTGGCGGAGAAATTAATAACATTAAACATTGGAATTGTTACAGAAAGCTGAAACTGATCTTCAGAATTGACATTTTTTTAAATGTCTTAATTTTTTTTTTAATATATAAATGTTTTTGAAAAAAGTCTATTATGCTGTTTGATGGAAAAATACATGAAATATAGTAATATTGTGAAATATTACAATTTAAAATAACGGTTTTCTATTTTAATATTTATGGCAAAGCTGAATTTTCAGTAGCCATTACTCCAGTCTTCAGTGTCACATGATCCTTTAGAAATCATTCTAATATGTTGATTTGGTGCTGAAATCACTGTAAATGTATTCTTCAAAGGCATTCTAGTTTGAAACCTCACCTCCATAAATTCTGCACAGGATTTCAGCTGTTGTCTGAAAAATAGCAAGAAGTTTTCCTCTGTTGGTAGTATTTGAACCAGCTGTGAAAGACATAAAATCAAAGATCAGATCAACAAAATGTATGCACTTTTTGATTAATATAATGTGCATCAATTCCTATGGGAAAGACAAGTTGACTGTCAGCTATGAAGGGGTGTCAGTTTATGAAGTGTCAAAGGCTGCTGGGTTTGAGGTTATCTGCTCAGTGATAGCATCTCTGAAATGATTCTTCCCAGAGAGCCGCTGACAGCTGCACTGATGGCTGTAAATCCACACGCGTTCAGTCCTCTGAACAGGTTACACATCCAACAATGTGAGCGATTCTGTTTTCATAACCGATGTTTTGATGGTCAGAAGTGGCTTGTGGTACTTTTGTTGGATGAAAGCATTTCATAAATGAACCAATATTTTTGTTTGCAGGTAAATCAACACCACATGAGCTGAATACTGGATTGTGTCAACATGCCAAACCTTTTTAATTTTGGAGCCTAAACCCTGCAGTCTGTGCCTGCCAGACAAAATTGCTTGTGCCAGCCATTTGGACAGTCAAAAAAATCTATTATTTTAATACCATAGCATAGGGTTTTAGCTTTCTTACCTCAACGATACCTATTTTTCCATCAGCATTTTGCTCATATTTCTCCACAAAGGCCTTCATTTTGTCTGTTAGTTCCTGGGGAATAGATAAAATAATTTAACAAACAGGCATTCTAAAGAATACCTTCTTTAATTTTTAGGCATTTTAACAAAAAAGTACAGTTTGCTGCAGATTTCAGTGGCTATAATCAAGCTGTTACAATCCATTTCTTCTGCCTTCTAAAATCCATTGATGTGTAAGAACAAATATGCGCAAACAGATGGGATGTGCTGCTATCTTCAGCCCTCATTGCACAATGCTGATTGTGTTTTCATACTGCTTTCGATATAGATGAGAGGAGTTATCATTCCTCAAAAAAAAACTTGCCCATCTTGGCGTAGGACACAGAGCCGTGACTGTGCAGAAATCACTAAAATGTGAAACACCTCAGTTCATTCACATGATGGGGTAATGGTTTCGAAGAAAGTTAGGCCCAGACGCCAGAGTGTGTTACATCTGCTTGAAGCACCAATAAAATGCAACCCACCAAGTTTTCTAAACTTTCGCCTGTTTACCAAGAGTTATTTGTCTTACTACAGTTTCAGTGAGAATCAATAGGGCGACTGAGACAAATGAAGGCCTATCCTCAAGCAGGCATCTCTGAGAGGGCATGGCACTGGTGTAGGGCAGAATTCTAAATTGAGTGTATACTGTTTCCAATATGTTTTAGCGTAGGTGAAATGAAAAGATTTTTTTACATTTTATTTATTCTTTATTTTTACTCAATATTTCTTGTGGCTTATAATTAAAAAATATTTAAATTTTTCATATGTAATATATATATATATATACCATTATATAGATAGAAATGCATCCATAGAAAAACATAATGTCCTTGAAGAAAATTACCAGTACTTCCATTAACTTTACAGACATTTCTTTCAACCCTAAAACACTACACAACACAATGCATAATTCAAAACAGACCTGAAAACAAAACACCTATTAAAAAAACTATACAGAAAATTCCAAATTCCTTTAACAGTACATTGTGCTGTGTTTTTACTGACTTTAAGAGTCTATATATCTTTTTAATTAAAAACTAAACTACTGTTTTGAAGTCCATTTCATGCTTTTCTATAGTATAACAAAATGTATTTTGCCTGCAAACATTTTATTTATTTATTAAATTTTTTTTATCAGAAGATACTGCTACTTATATAATGTAATTACACTGGTGGCCCTTAAAGTTGAATATAAACATAAGAACAATTATTTGTAGATCTCTGTTTATTTAGTTCATTTAGTGAATGTACAGCGCTCTCTCCCACCTTCAATACCACGACTGAGGTGCCCTTGAGCACGGCACCGAATCCCCAACTGCTCCTCGGCCGCCGCAGCATAAATGGCTGTCCACTGCTCTGTGTGTGTGTTCACTGCTGTGTGTGTGCACTTTGGATGGGATAAATGCAGAGCACTAATTCCAAGTATGGGTCACCATACTTGGCCACATGTCAAGGCTTTCACTTTCATTTATTGTATTGTAATGCAGTTTGTCATTTCTTACTGTACCTGTGGGAGCATTAATCATTACTTAATGTTAATGCTTTTGTCAGGATGTTTTCTTGCTCTCTGTATCCATTAGCCAAACATTTCTGAACTGGTGATGGTATCTAATGTCTGTCATAATGATTAATGGCTGTAGTGATTTGTGAAACTCTTTTCTATTTAATACACAGAGGATTCCGTGTGATTGGTTGAAAAGACCCATTGATTAATTTTACAACCATCCTGGAATCCTTATCTTCTGTGGTTTCTGTCCAGATAAATGACATCAGCTAAAGCAGAAATATTTGGACTTGTCATGACAGTGAAGTGAAGTGATAAAATCAAAACATAATTTAAAAGAACTGGATAAAAAATTTAAATGAAACCGTTTAGGTTGAGCAGCCCTCTTTCAGATAATGATGAACAGGGTGAGTTTGAATTAACTTATTTGTGTGAATTCATTTTAATCTAAAATATATACAATACCAGTCAAAGGTTTTTGAACAGTAAGATTTTTTATGGTTTTTAAAGAAGTCTCTTCTGCTAACCAAGCCTGCATTTATTTGGTCCAAAGTACAGCAAAAACAGTAAAAACATTTTTTAAATATTTTTACTATTTAAAATAACAGTTTTCTATTCGAATGTATTTTAAAATGTAATTTATTCCTGTGATTTCAAAGCTGAATTTTTAGCATCATTACTCCAGTCCTTTTTCAGGTTTCTTTGAATAGAAAGCTCAGAAGAACAGCATTTACCTGAAATAGAATCTTGTAACATTTTTGTAACATTATAAATGTCTTTATCATCACTTTTGATCAATTTAAAGCATCCTTGCTAAATAAAAGTATTAATTTCTATAATTCTGAAATAGAAATCTTTTGTAACATTATAAATGTCTTTAGCATCACTTTTGATCAATTTAAAGCATCCTTGCTAAATAAAAGTATTAATTTCTATAATTTATTATTTATTCATTTATAATCTATTTCCCCCCAAAAAATGTATATAAATACTGACTCCAAGTGTTTGAATGATATAGTGTATAATGTTACAAAAACGTTTTATTTCCGATAAATGCCGATCTTTGGATCTTTCTATTCATCAAAGAATCCTGAAAAAATATGTACTCAACTGTTTTAAATATTGATGATGATGATAATAATAATAAATGTTTCTTGAACAGCAAATCAGCATATTAGAATGATTTCTGAAGGATCGTGATACTGAAGACTGGATTATGCTGAGATTTTAGCTTTGATCACAGGAATAAATCACATTTTAAAAGCAGTTATTGTAGTAAAGATATTTCTGAATATTACTGCTAAATAAATGCAGGCTTGGTGAGCAGAATATAATTCTTTAAAAAACATAAAAATGTATCAATATATCACTGGTAGTGTATGTATATGTGTGTGTGTGTGTGTGTGTATGTATATGTGTGTATATATATATATATATATATATATATATTATATATATTCCTCTAAATGTTTTCCCAACTAGCTTAGCAGAGTTGTCTGAACAAGCAGTTTCATATGGACCAATGTTGATTTGTTCAATGTTTGTCAGCTCCCAGCATACACTGCAAGCTTGAATAAGTTATGGCTGGCTCATATGATTACTCATTTGATGTTTGTCACCATTATTTAGGTTTATGTGTTGAGTTCCATGTACATCTATGAATACATTTTCAGTCTGCTTTATTCGGGAGTATTAGGTGAACAGAGCCGAAGTACGGTAGGCACAGATGTACAAGATTAAATGAAACCTGGACACACACACTATCTATAAGTCTTAAAGTCTGAATAAATTAAATTGTTATATGCAGAGGCCCATGAGAGACATTCAGGGTGCAGAAAAGCGCAGCACAATATCATTAGAGGTGTGAAATGACCCAGTGACTGCTTTTCCTCAGTCCTGTCACAGTCCATCACCTCCTCTTTATGTCTAATAGGGCTGTAACTCAATGACATGGGAATCTCAATAAAGTACAGCCACTGGACATCACCTCGGGAACAACATGGAGGACAAGAAAGTCACTGTTTTACAATGTCAGACCAGCTGCACACCTGTATATTTGGATCTTGCATGTAAAATATAAAATGGTGTGATTGTAGAGGTTAAATATCAGTGCTGGTAAACGTTTGTTTGTGTAAGAGTGTCATGGTTTACCTATTAGCCCCTGGTGATTGAAACTTTAACTACCAAACTGGTTCAAACTGCCTATTTGATCATAATAGACATTTAGAATTAGCTGTGCATTCTATCAGACTTTGTTGCAGGACATTTTCAGTCCTTTTCTTTCAAGGGTCACCCGAGCAAATGCCACTGAGATGCAAATGCTTCCTAGAGGTATAATAGTCTGATCCCATAAAGAGCAAGCCTTGAGACCTTGAGCATGATACGTAACCCAGGTTGGTCATGGAGAATCACTAAATGGCTACTTACTCTGACCTTCATGATGGAACGACTCAAAACTTCACATTTGTTATGACATTCATTACAGTCATTCTGTTACCAATTATTTAGCATGTATTCAGTCATTCCCAGCCCTTACGAATGTTGTTTGCTTGGCAATTTCAGCATGTGTATTTTCCAGACAAGAACAAACCATCATTCGTACCAGTAATGAGTTTCTTCCAAGGTCATTCCACTACATCATGTCTGCAGGCAATTCCCTTCAATGAGGCTTTGGTTCTTTCATATTTGTTTTCAACACACTGTGCATTGCTGTTCTTTATAGATAGCAGCATAACCAGCAGATTGCAACTACAGAGGACGGTAGAATTATTGTAAAACGAACGCAAATTATGATTTATTCTCTATGAAGCAAATGAGGGGAGGAGCCAGCAGCAGATGTGCATGGACCCAGATGGGGAGACGGACTGACTCTAACATGCTGACTGAGACAAACTGGGACAAAGTCTCTGTCCTCTATCAGAGCTTTAACAGGTCTGATAACATGCCACTCTATCATATGATAGGCTACAGCAAAGGCGGAATTCATCATCATTTATTATAAATGCAAGCCTGGAGACAAATGTGTAATGCCACTAAAATCGCAATATCTTCTCAAAAGGTCACATAGATAAAGCATCATTTTACTGAACCAAAATGAGATCCATTTACAGTAGAGGACCTGTGACCATGACCAACACCTCACACCCTCATCTAAGGAGATATTATTAGCACATAGTCTTGTTGGGTTGCAGTGGTGCCTGATGCAAAATTATTTTTCAGTGTTAACAAAGTTATTGTTTTGTTTTGTTTTTTGATCTTTCATTTTCATTCATTCTTCATTTTTTCCAAAATTGTTAATTTTATGAAACATTTGCTTTTTCTCTACAACTCTAAATCTAAAACATTTTGGGAAACTGAACTTTGCAATCTGCTACCATACCCTTACAATATCAAACAAAAATGGATCAGATAAAAAAAAAAAAAAACATTAGGCAAGATTTTTCCAGATTTAGGCAAAATTTAGACAAGTATGTTTATATATAATAAATGTATAATTTGTTTTGTATTAATAATAATAATTATTATGGATTATGTAATAAATGTTATTTATTCTTTAAAAAAGATCGAACTCATCTTATGTTGTTCAGTGTTCTAATAGCCAAATTAATTAATTGGCTTTCATTGTTCTTTTTTTTTTTACCACAAATTTGAAAGTTCACAGTTTATTACATGTGAAGAGCAGGAAAATATGATAATACATGTCAAGTTTCATAATTTTCCAATGTCAAGGGAAATTTTATATTTGAAAAGAAAAGCATTTTGCACAATTATTTTTCTCTAAAACGATACAGATTTTTTTTTTCTTTTGGCAATGTTGTCATTTTCACGAAATTATTATTTTTTTGCTTGTTCCCCAATTATAGATTATGGATACTCTTCTTCTTCTTCTTTTTCTTATTATTATTATATTGCATTATCAACACAATATCTTCTTGGGATGTTTCACATATGTGTTCTTGCCTGATGCTTATATGCGGCAGAAGACTGAAGAAAACTGTGACTTACCAGTCCTGCTTGTTTTCGAGCTTGTTGAAGTTCTTTGATAAAATTCTGCAACTCCTTCCCCTCGATATATCCATTACCTGAGAGCATTTACACCCCAAATCAATGACACAACACAGATGAGACGTGCTTTCATCAGTCAGCCAAAAAAGTATATTTCAAAGCCATCTGAAATGACTAACAATCTATCTCTTGTCACATTTTGACATCATCACAGGTTAATGACTGTCTGTTAGGTAAGATACATTAGACAAATAATTTTAACCAAACTTTTGGAAACCAGTTGCAAAGCAGGTGGCAAGAATAATCCCAATTTCTTTCTTCCCCCAAAAAATTTTCAGTTCATGAAATCCACAAAATAAGGAAAGAAATTACCATCGTTGTCATAATGATGGAATATATCCAGGAACTGAGAGGCTGAGATCTCTACTCCTTGCAGGTAGGCGTTTGCCATGTTTTCTCCGTGTGTCAGGCGCTGATGCTGTGAGACCGATGCTGTGAGAAAGGCTCTGTGATGTCTCCAGTATTTAAGTGAAGTTCCGCCCTCCCCTCAGATGATGGCAAGCGCCCAGCGCACCTCTGTCTCCTCGCGCCGCAGGTAGCATGTGAGACGCATTTAAATCAGGACTTCTTTCTGCGCGGATGTCACAGACTCCAACCGAGCCTATTGACACTTATAAAACTCAAAATAGGAACTGTGGAACATTTGGCCACAACATTTTTTTTAAAATGTAATTTTACAATCTGACGTGCATGAAGTGCGCTTTATGGAAACAGTGACCCCTGCGCTCATAATGAATAAAAATGTGCGAATTATTCACTTACTTGCTTCGACTTCTTCTATTTGCTTTTTTTTGGTGCTATTTTTATATTGTTATTTTTTCAGCAATATATTTATTTCAACAATGCTTTCTCTAACGTAGCCTATTAGTCAAGCTAGCCAGCGCGCCTATTTTTTGCATGTTTCAAAATGACTATGGCTATCCATGACATTTTCTATTGCAATAATTTTTGTGCGATACTTCGATAAAGCATGATAGACCTGCACGTCACATATTTCAGAAAAGTTTTTGTGGTTTATTAAAAAAAGTGAGTTCAGTGAGTTTACCATGCATTTTTTTCTTTGTGGTTGATGGTAACAGAGCTTGACCTCACTTTGGATATTTATGGAGTTCATTTTTGTTCAGAATCTACAAAGGTAAACGTGCAGTTCCCAGACACAGGGCTTTATATGGAAAGCACCACTAATAGCTTGGCCTTCACAATTCAGAGACATTATAATCCAGGAGGACAAACTTTTCTGTATGCTGTGTGTATGTGCTTTGTGTAAGAATTGATCCAATAACGCTGACCTTATGGAATTAATTTTCCTCTTGCCTCTACGGACATCATTCCCTAGTTCAGTTTTCTTGTTAGTTTTCTCTTGTTTACAGAACATTAATTCGTAAAAATGAGCAATGACCCATGAGATAATTGCTCTCCATATGTTAATTGATGAGGCTCTGCCCAGACAATGACGGCTGGGTCTATGGTCCTCTGTCACGGCATCCTGCCTGGCAGGTAGGCAGGCAGACAGATAGATGGACAGTTCACCACACACAGCCACCCTCATGCAATTAGAAACTTCCCTGGTAGTCTGGCAGAGCAAGTAAAATGAGCTTAAATTAGACTGCATGGTGCTAATGGTGCATCCAGATGTTATCACAACACAACATTGGAGTTTCTTAGCACTTGATGTGGCATATGTTTGTGGTGTCGGGAGGCCACTATTTGTTGTATAGACACACAGATGGGTTGGCTGACAGTTATAGTGTGAACCGAGGCCATTATGAAACACTCCTGCAGAGTATTGTTGTGAGGAGCTTGCATCACACCTTAGCAAGTAAACAGTGGCACCTGCACATTTAAACAACTCCTCTGCACCTGAGATACACACCATACGATACCTGCAATCAGAGTTAGAGTAATTGTAAACTGATTTCAGAAGTTCAGCTTCACTATGCCATAGCTACTGTTGTACTGTATATATATATATATATATATATATATATATATATATATATATATATATATATATATATATATATATATATATATA